AAATAAATAAACAAACAAACACATAAATAAAAAAAACCTCATGTACATTTTCTGGACATTTTACTGAATATAAATTATACCTCAAAACAAACAATATGAATTAATTTATTTTATCTTTACTTGCAAGCAAGTTTTATAGCAATGGTTCTCAACTATGGGCAATTTTACATTCCTAGGGGACATTTGGTCATGTCTGCCAACATAATTGATTATCACAGCTACAAGAGTTATTTGATGAGTAGACCCCAGAGGTGCTACTAAACATCCTACAATGCATAGGACAGCTCCCAAAACAAAGAATTACTCAGCTAAGAATATAAATAGTACCAGTAGTGAGGAACTCTGCCTTACAGGAAGGAAGTGAAAAGGGTCATGTATAAGCATATTTTGTACCTAAATATAAGAAAAAGTGACTTTAGGCAAAATAGTGGCACAAAATTGTCAAGTTGAGAAGGCAAGAATGAAGAGAAAAAATGTTTTAATAAAAATTAAGATGGTCCATGTTAGAATATAAGATTCATAAGACTGGTAAAAAATCCAATTAATGAACAAATAATAGAGAGGATGGGGCCTCCCCTTTTGGTGCAGCAGTTGAGTGCTGGGTTGCAAAGCTGCCCGCAGCCTCTGCAGCACCGGTTTGATCCCCGGCCGCCAGGCGAGGGTCCAACATGGCGCACAGACCTCTCCTGCCGCCCGCTGCTCCCCTCAGCAGTGTACTTCGTCAGTCTGCCTGCTCTGCTCTCCCCTCTGGCTCTGGTGAATTCTCTCATCCTCCCATGCTTCTGACTGTACCCAGTGCTTCTATAAATAAATAAATAAATCTAAAAAAAAATAATAGAGAGGAATGGATATAAAGTTGTGCTAAGTTCCATGTGATGATTTGTGAATAAAATACAGGGCAGCAGGGAACAGAAGTTGAGGGGAAGTCAGATGAGTAGTGTTCTCCGGAGAAATGGGAATCTGATTTATTGTGCATCATAGGAAGTTAAGAAAGCAGAGATTAAGCTATTAGGAGACCAAATAGAATAGGAGTGTTAAGAACACAGATTAGGTATGTGATGATAAAGAAGCACTCAAGGACACAGAAATACATGTTCATATTAATGAAGGTAATTAGAGTTTGTATCCAAAGATCAAAAGGAATGCTTTCCTGTATAAATGCCTCTTGCACTTACATTATCTAATTCTTATCTGCAAGATGAGAACTTGGATGGGTGGGAAGTAACCCAGATGGTACCCAATTTTTTTCCCCACTTCCTCTCAACTATAGGCTACTAAATCTTATCAAAAACTGCTTTCTAAGAATAACTACCTCAAGGGCACAAGAAGGAAGCTATCTAATATAGGGGATATTGCTTTCTCTCTCCTTGGCTCTGTGAAGCAAAAGCAATATAAATTAACAAACGTACAAAAGGAACACTTGTAAAATTATCATGACCTTGCTTTACACCAACATAGGAAAGAAGATTCAAGAGCATAAAGAAGATAAAGGGAATAGAAGAGGGTGGAATGGAAGAGAAAAGGATAAGAAGTTGTTGAGAAGACACGATTGACACTCTTGTGTTTACATATTAGAATGCAAAGGTCTTCAGCCCAATATCTGAATTTTTTAAATATTTAAAAAATTTATTTTAATTTCAAAAATCTTACACGCTATTATAAAAGGTACAAATATTTAAGTAAGATGTGATAAATAAAACAGATATTAAATAAACTTAATTATTCCTTTATCAGTGAACATTTGGGTAATTTTACTTTTTACTGCTATAAAATAGGTTTTGATCAACAACCTATATTGTCCTTGTACATATAATCTTATGCACCTGTATGAAATTTCCTTTTATATGCAATCCTGTGTATCTGTGTGAGTATATTAGTAGGGTGAATGCCTGGATTACTATGTTAAAAGATACACACTGAAATTTTAAGAACTATTTCATTCTAACACTCTTAAATTTATATGCAAATAAAGTCATGCAATTAACATAGCTGTAAATAAATAAAACAAAAGTTGACAGAAAGACAAATTTGCAATCATAATTGGACATTTTAAAACACTTCTGTCAGAACAAGCAGGCAAGAAATGAGTACAAGATATGAATAGCATTATTAACCAAATTAGCTTATCTCACACACACACACAAACACACATACACACACAATCACTATACTCCAGACAACATTTTGCTGAAATGTATATGGAATCTTTTACCAAATAGTCCATAGCAAAGAACAAGTATAAATCTAAGAATAGGTTTTTTTGTGTACTGTCAAATTAAATTATAAATCAATAATACATTAGGTAGAGAAATTCAAAAACATTTGTAAACTAAGTGAAACAAAAAGTGTAAGACAAAGGCCAGATTTCACTCACTTGTGGAATGTAAATAACAACAAAGAAAAAACAATATGCCAAAACACAACAGAAATGATTTTAGAGTCTATAATTTATAGTGGTTGTCAGAGGGATGGGGTGAAAAACAGGGATAGGAGAGGTAACATGACTGTGTATTAGCCTCGTTTGGTGGATGGTGAATGAAGCATGTGCACATGTTGAGGTCTGACAAAAGACCTCATGCTAATACCTGATTGCCTGATGCTAATACCAGGCAATCATATTACAAGAAAGGAAAAGTTCAAACTAAACTTTCTCATGAATAAAAAAGCAAAAATCCTAATTAAGACATTAGCAAATTGAAACAGGTACTATACCATGATCAAGAAGGGTTTATTCTAGGAATATAAGGTTCATTTAACACTGAAAAAAAAAATCAATGTAAATAACCAAATTGCCAGAAAAAAGGAAGAAAAATCACCTGATCATCTCAATAGATGCATTAAAAAAGAAACCTCTTAGCACATTAGGAATAGGAGACCTTCTTTATCTAATAAATGCATCTATGAAATATCTCTAAACCACAGCATACTTAATTGTGAATATAGAATGCTTTCTCCACCTGGGATTGAGAAGAAAAAAAGATATTCATTCTCTCCACCTGTATTCAACAGTGTACTGTCAGTACTAGCTAGTGTAATAACAGGAGGAGACAAAATAAAAGATATAATATTGAAAAAGAAGAAATAAAAATGTTATTCTTCACAGCTGACATATAGAAATAAAATCCAAAAGAATCCAGAAACTACTAGATATAAGTGAATTTAACTTATTGAATATGATGGATACATTAAAAATACATTATATTTCTACAAACCTGCAAAAAGCAACTAGAAAATTTATAAAAATATTTACAATAGCACCCAAACCTGATCACTGTGAAACGCAGTTGAGATTAATAAAATTTAAATTGACAAGATATGCCATATCCACAGAAGAAAAACCCAGTATCATAAAAATATCAGTTCTCTCCAAAGTGATGTATAAATTCAATGCAACCCTATCAAATCCAGTAGATTTTTTCATAGTGGAATTGACAAACTGATCCTAAATTTCAATATAAATAGATAGGAAGAATTAAGATAATCCAAATAATCCTGAAGAATGACAACAAATCTGGAGTGTTTCACTTACAAAGCAGCAGTAATTACTTACGAAGCAGCAGTAATTACCACAATATTTACACGAATTTTATTGACTGATAGAACCCTGGAATAGAGAAATAAAGTTCTGATGGGGTACCTAAGGGAGTTTGCTTTTCTTTCTTTCCTTTTTTCAGTAAAATTTTTTTGAGGTAACATTGGTTTACATAATTGTATAAAACATCAAGGTACCCATGGTCCCTGACCTTAGTCCATGGTGCTCATTCCCTACTTTGTTCTTACCCCCCTCTTCCTCCTCTGGATGTCTCAGTTTTATGTCAGTTTTCAAGGGTGAGTTCTTAAGCTTGGCTTTATCGGACACTTTTTTTTCTCTATATTCCACATATTAAGTGACATCATCCAGTATTTGTATTTCTCTCAGTTTATCATAATCCCTTCCACTCTACCCATATTGCCACAAATGGCATGAGCTAACCTTTTTTGACTGCTGAGTAGTATTCCATTTTTATATATATATATATATATATATATATATATATCTTCTAGATCCATTCATCTGTTTTGGGACACTTAGGTTGTTTTCATAACTTGGCTATTGTTAAATAGGGGGGCAATAACCATAGGAGTTCAGGTTTCCTTTTCAAATTAGTATTTTTGTGTTCTTTGGGTAGATACCTAGGGGTGGAATTTCTGGGTCCTATGGCAGATCGGCTGCACTGGAGCTGAGAGTACAAGGAGTAAGCAAGCCCTCATCCTCATTCCACTATCATTTTGCCCCAACCCTACATGTTGAGCTTCTGTGTCCTCTCCAGGTATACCATTCTCCCCAAATCTTCACAAGTTCACCAGCCTGAATGCACTGTAGCATGTTTTTCATAGTCAGATACAAATATCTTATTTTCTGTCCATTATGAAATATTTAATAGTATTTATGTTGTTTTCTAATTCTTTTAGTGTAAGTGGATTGTCTGAGGATGTACCAAGAGGTGCTGAGGTCTTGTCATGAGAGATTGCTGGATACGTGGTCTACACTTAACAGGTGCTTATTAAATACACAGAATAGCCAGGCTGCCATTGGCAAGATGGGGGTGGAGGATGGCATTTGGTAGATTTCTTGTCTCTGGCTCAGCAAATATTTGTAAGAAGTAAACAAATCTTTCAGTGATCAAGATGTTTGTCACCTGTGAGTCCTTTCAGGGAACCGGATCTGGACACTCTACCCTCATTCCCAGCATCTGGCACAGGTGACGACAAAGGTTAATGAGTCTTCCAAAATAAAATGTTTGAAAGTACACAGGATTTGAGCTTGGCTATAGTTACTGTTCCTCATATTGGTGACAAAAGCAATTTGGGTCAAAGGGTTATTGTCCTATGATAAACTGCTGTGATAACTTATAAAAAGGTGTATCAGCTATTCATATATATATATATATATAGGGTAAAGAAAGATGCTTCTAAACCAAGATTTTCCAGAGAGAGAAATCAAAAGGAGATGTACAGCAATGAGGTCGTTTAAGATTTCAGTTTTCATCTTGGTTCTTCACTTTCTGGAAGGGGCCTTAACCAGTTCGCTGGTTAAGTTGATTAATAATGGCTATGAAGGCATTGTCATTGCAATTGACCCTAAAGTGCCAGAAGATGAAAAACTCATTCACCACATACAGGTAAGTTCAAAATGATAATTATCCATACTTTATTAAAAAAAAGAAAGCACAAAGTTGTGATAGAACCTACGAGTTCTCTAACTCCAGATGCATGACACTAGCAAGTGTCTGAGTCTCATGCTCTCAGTATCTTCTATTGTAAAATGGAAATAATAGCACTTAATCATTAGGATTCTTGTAAGGGATGAGATAAATGCACATAACTCTGAGTTTGATACATTATTGGCATGTAATAAATAACAGCTACATTTATTGATTGTGGATTATTTCATTGAGAATTATTTAGTTCTGCACTAAGGCAGAGCCAGTTACATTTGGCAGATACTATGAAGTGTACAGAGCATAATTCCTTTGCTTGACTTTACCATTAACATATCAGAATTTCCTTATGTTCTAGTTGAGAGCCCCTTCTCTGTGATCCTGCTTAGGAACCCAGGGTACAAATCTCTGATTTAAGAGAACTTGGACCCTTTCAAAGGGAGGAAACCCTAGATTTTCCTTGCCCTAATACAAGGGATCATCTCAGGGCTGCTTGGTGGCCTCATATCACTTGCTGTTTCTTCTGTAGGGAAAGGAAAAATTGGGGAAGACTCTTCCTATTGTAGGCAGAAGTGACTAATTGTTATAAGGTGGAGAGATTAGAATGAGAGCATGTCCAAAAGCTAATAACTAAGAACAAGAGGAAAGGCCTTATAAAAGACCACCTTGGAAACTGGATGTGGGATATTCAGAGGCAGTAGTGAGTAATGAGTAAAAGCACTGTTCTGAATTGTGGGGATAATTATAAATTCCTTCCTCATAAGATCAAATTTAACAATGCTGGGTGAAGGGCATATGGGAACTCTGCACAATTTTTGCATGGATTCATTATTTAAATCATCTCAGGGCCTCCCCGGTGGCAGCCTCTGCAGCACCGGTTCGATCTCCAGCCAGCAGCACCGGTTAGATCCTGGGCCACCGGGTGAGGGTCCCACATGGCGCGCAGACCTCTCCTGCCGCCCGCTGCTCCCCTTAGCAGTGTACTTTGTCAGTCTGCCTGCTCTGCTCTCTGCACTGACTCTGGTGAATTCTCTCACCCTCCTGCGCATCTGACTGTACCCAGTGCTTGTATAAATAAATAAATAAATCTTTAAAAAAAATCATCTCAAAGATTTAAAAAACTTTTAAAATGGTTGCATTGTTCCTGTTATACAGCAAGAAATCCGTAAGTGGTAGACATAGTAATCATTCACTGGCCCCCTCTTTAGTCCTTGTAGATGAAAAGGATTTATCCTTTTTGACCAAGCCAAAAGGACTGAAGCTTATTTTTGAGCAAAGTTCCTGAGCATAAATTCAGAAGTTAATAGTGCAAGGTACTTCCAAAGTTTCCTTACTTTGAGCAGAAACAAATCTAGAAAGATGAAGGGTAAAGAATCATCTTTACCACCAAGAGGAAAACTGCAGCAGTTTGGAAAACTGCAGCAGTTGAAGGGAGAATGGAATCCAGGTCATTTAATGAGAAGACTATCAGATGTTACTGCCAATGGAGAAAGGGAAATTCACAGATTTTGAAGTCTCTCAACAATCAGAAAACTTGAGTGAGTTTTTGATTGCCTTTAAACTTAGAAATGGTAGCAGCATAAATAAACTACTTGGAATTACAAGTAAAGCGAGGGAGAAAAATGCAGCCATTATGATTGTCTCTGGCTAGACAGTTGTGGGGCTCAGTACCATGCCAGAAGGAGAACACAGATGTTTTTTCCTCCAAAGACAATGGTAGTTCGTATTTATATGGTGCTTTACAGCTTTGAAAGTGCTTTCACCTCACTATCTTGGCAGTACTGAGGTCGGGGGTCGGGGTGGTGGGTAGGGAGTCAAGGGGGTTGTGGGGGGAGAGGAAGGGGATTCCTCCTGAGAAACGTACTTCTCATAACAATTATTAAATTAGCTTTCTGATATGAGCTTTAAATGAGTTGGCTATGAGAGAAATGGTTTCCACATTCCCTTCTCCATAACAGCAACACTTGGAAGCGTAACAGTGTGCTCAGGATCACAAACTGAGTAGGTAGTGAAAAATGAGTTCCTCCCTATCTGATATTCCAGATCTGCACAGTTAAGAGACCACATGCTGGGCTTTGCCACTTTTCCCCACCATCCCTTGCTTTCTACTATCTGGGAGAAGACTCCCCCAGCGCCTTTGTGGAAGCTGAGATCAGCTCTGAAATACTTGCTTCAGGCTTCTGGACAGTTCCCAATATTTCTCCCCCCATAGACCAGCAGATTGTACTGAAGCAGTTCTAGTCACTGGACCTACACTGATCAATATTATTAATAGAGAAGCAGGGAAGTAGGGGCAGGCTTCCTAAGATAAGCGAGTGAAAGGCAGGGAGAAGTTGTCTATCTCTAATACACACACACACAAACGCACACACACGAAAGATACACAATGGGAATAATACAGATTTCCACAATGCATGGAAACCAACACATGCTGTCTTGGCATTCCTATAGCTTGTCACTCATCATAACCACTTCATTCATTCATCCATTCATTAGTTCATTCATCCAGCAAATATTTATGGAGCATCTGTTTTATGTCAGGTGAAAAATACACTATCCTTGTCCATAAGGAATTACTAATCCATCTTATAAACTGTTGTTCTTGACTTTCTCCAATCTCAAACGTTTAGATGTCTATGTGGAAATGAGGTCACCTCTTGGAAAATCTTCTGGATCAGAAGTCAAACAAAGATCGCTTATCAATGTTTCTATTACAACATGGAAAGCAAGAGCATTTTATCTGCTCTACTTCCTGGGGCTCACTGAATATTCACACGTTTACAAGTCAAATAGTAATATAGTACTCTAACATGGGAAATCTTGTTTTGCAGCTTTTTGGTGATCTTAGCTCAGTGTTTAATTTTTTAAACAATATAATGTTAAATCTCCTAATGTTAAAAATGTGGCGTTTTGAAAGGACAGACATGCAAACCATTACAGGAAGTTTTTCAAACTAGCAAGGCAACCGTTATTATCAGGAAAGGAGGTAACCAACACCAGGAGATAAAATAAACTCCCCAAGTTTATCCTGTTAGAAAGTGGCAGAGAAAGATCCACCCCTATATCAATATTCAACTACTGCTTCTTGCCCTCCTACCCCCGACATAATGATGATCATAGAGCCAACCCCACTAAGCACAGGAGTCTAGTCACTCTGGTCTGCTCCAGTGAGTACTTTCTTCCTGCAATGATCCCTAATAATCCCTTTTTTTCCTCTTGTATTATCAGATTTTTTTCCATTAACATATACATTTATTATGGTTCCTATTAAACAAACAAAACTCCCTTGCCCTGAATTCCTCCTTTAACTATTTCTCCATTCTGCTTTAATTTACACAAAAATTTCTTGACCTGTTATCTGTATCTACTGTCTCTGCTCCCTCACCTCTTACTCCTCTGGATTCACTTATATGGAACTGTGTCCACGCCACTGAAATGGCTCACCCATTTGCCATACCCATAGCTCTCCTCTTACTTGATTTCTCAGCCGCACTTGGCACCAATGATCACTTCCTCCTTCTGAAACACTCACCACATGCCATCTGACTTCCTTTCCAGCACCAGCTATTCTTTCTGATTCTCCTTTGCCAGCTCCTATTACCACTTATAAATACTGGGGGGTCCCCAGGACCCAGTCTTGAGTCCTCATCTTTCCTCTGTCTACTCCTGATTTTATATTGTTCGGTGGTTTTTCAGTTCAAATAGACCTAAAATTCCTTTCTATAATATCTTATGACACCCTCCATACTCTCTTGTCATGATATATTTCAAAATATCCGCAGAAGTATTTATAACTTAACACTACAGCTCTTTCATTTTAGAGAAAAGTAAATATAATTCAAAGAGAAATTATGTAATTATTACACTTCCTTATGTCAGCACAGGCTTATGAACAAATAAAAATAGATATTTTCATAACATTTAGCTAACCTCCAAATTGTCTCAGGAGTCAACAGTTATTGAAACTATAATCATTTAATTTGAGGTTTTTCCCACAGTACTATTTCATAGACTTTGAAACTTACACACTCTAATTCTCGATTTCTTCCTTAAAGATTTAACGATCCTCAAAGGAACAAATGAAAGTAATAGCTAAGTAATTTCATAAGCATTGTGCTTAGCAAACATGGTTCCACGGGCTTTCTTGATTTGCATCAATCATCACATCATGAACTATAATCCTGTCCATTTTGTAAATGGGGAAACTGAGACTCAGATAGGCTCAAGGAAACTGCCTGGTGTCCTGGCATAAGTGGTAAAGGCAGATTTAGTGTTTTCATGAGGAGTCTGCATTGGCAAGCAGTACACTATGACACAGAGCACATGTTAACTGCTCAAAAAGTTAGTTAATATTAATGAAAGATATAGTTACATCTTTCTTTCCATTTTGATATGTTACCAGTTTTTTGAAATACAGGTGTAAATTTGAATGATTGGCAATGCCATCTATTTTTGGGTTATAATTGTGCTTGTTCTGGTATATTTTATTTTTTCCAGACCATGGTGAAGCAGGCTTCTCCCTATCTGTTTGAAGCTACAGAGAGAAGATTTTACTTCAAAAATGTTGCCATTTTGATCCCTGAAACATGGAGGAAAAAACCTGAGTATATGAGACCAAAACTTGAGACCTATAAGAATGTGAGAATATCAAGTTCTTTTTTCAAATTTGATTTTCTTCTGTGATTCAGATTTTTTCACCAAAATATTTTACAATAGAATGATATTATTTCAAAATACTCCAGTGTGAATTGTGGAAAATTTGTAGTGATTAAAAACTTTTTCTCAAATTTCAGGCTGATATTCTAGTCTCTCAACCTAACAGTCCAAATAATGATGAGCCCTATACTGAGCAGATGGGAAACTGTGGCGAAAGGGGTGAAAGGATTCGTTTAACTGCTGACTTCCTAAAGGGAAAGAAGTTGAATGAATATGGACCACAAGGTATGGTGAGAGATGAAGTATCCTTCTGTTTCTCATAATTGATTTAAGCATACATTTAAAATAGATCAACACTAGCATTATCATTCTCAATTAAGATAATATAAGCCAAATAAACTGTTATAGCATGTTTTTAACTTAAAACAGGGACACAGCATAGTACATTTCTCAGTTATAAAATTAATTTCTTCAAAATTAAGATGCAGATCCTGATTCAGTAGGTGTTGGGGTGGGACTCAAAAATCTGTATTTTAAACAAGCTCTCAACCATGGACTGCAATTGGAGTACTAGATAGATGATCCTTGCATTCCAGTTTTCAAAGGCCTGTGAGTAAAGAAAAAGTCCAATATGCTCTCACCAAATATACTCTTTTCATTTCTATGTGTTATATGGAGCAATGTTTGGTGAAAATAATAAAATAAACAAGCAATTGGAGTGTATAAATAAGATGTACTTTCCAAGTATAATCAAATGTGATTAGTGCTAACTAATTGGGTTAACGAAAGTTTCTCTACTGTCTTGAAAAGATGAGCGCCAGCTCAATTTTCTTCATTTAAATAGGAAAGGCAGAGGAACAGACTAACAAATGACAGGATGATGGTGCCTCCACGCTCCACTCCCAAACACATTAGGTCACTTACAGACCTTATCAGAAAGCGATGTCAAACAAATACACCTCTTTGAGATTCTTTTATAAAACTCTGTCTGACACCCATAACAGGAATAGAAAAATTCCCAATGTATGGCTCAATAAATGAATTGAATTGATTTACCTAACTGTCAATAAATGAATTGAATTGATTTACCTAACTGTCCTATACCATTGCACTGCCCACTCCAGCTACCTTGATCACCACATATAATATCATTCCTTTATAATTTCTCCTTTCTGTACTGTGCCTTCACATCTGTGCCCTCACAATCTTCCCCTGCCTTTAAGAGACCATCAGTTGTTCCCCAGCACCTACGAAGTAGTCAAAATCCTTAATGTGAGATATTTAGGCTTCTTTGGCATGCAAACATTCAGCTAACTCTCCACTCAGCTAGCTTCCAAAATTTCTGGAATTAAATTGCAGAAAATCTGAACTGTACATATATCACTAAGAATCATCCAAGTTTAACAAATACTCTCTGAGTGTTTATTAAGTTCTAGACTCAATGTGAAGAGATGACAGTTAAGAATCATTGTGCTGGGCCTCCCTGATGCCACTGGGGTTAAAGTCTTAGCGCTATAAAGATATTACCAACCATTGTGGCCTGAGTTCAGTCCCTGGCCAGGGAACTAACCCACATGTGCAGCAGACCTCTCCTGTTTTGCTTGCCGCACCCCTCAGCAGTGTATTTCTGTAGATACACCTGTTCTACTCATTCCCTGCATCTCTGGCCTACACTCCTGTTCTTGTATGCATAAATAAATGAAAAGAAATCTTAGAAAGAAATCTAAGGAGAGAGAGAGAGAGAGAGAAAGAAATCACGGTGCCTATTCTCATGGAGATAAGGGCCCAGTATGTGAGATAATAGAGTATGACAAGCGCCATACTGGAAAACAGTGAAAGCGCAAAGGAGGGGAACTTGTACTAGCTTAGCATATAACCCAGACGTCTGGGCTCATATGAGCTTGATTTTGAAAGAACAGTATAAATTACCAGGCAGGGACAGGCAGAGAGCATTTCAAGCAGAAGAAAAACATGTAAAAAGACCAGAGATGAGCAAGAGTATGGTGTAGATCTAGAAAGTAAAAAAGAAGCTCAGGAATTGATTTCGAATTTAGAGTTTCGAAAGTGGGTAAAGAATAGCAAGAAATACGGTTGCAGAGGGATGGGCCCAAGAGGTTGGACTTAAACCTGAGTACTACTAGGGAGTCTTGAAGACTAGAGGCATGGAGGCCAGGTGGGTGGCTATTGTAGTAATTCAGGAGTAAGTAAAGATGAGAATATGTCAAAGCAAAAAGGCAGAAGCAGAGTAGGCAGGCCTTGAGGTTTGACCAGATAAGAGCCATGAGGGAAAAGGATCTATTACAGATGCTGCCCTAACAATCTTACGGATGCCTCTGGCTCCCATAGCAGCCTGCTCTTCCCTCCACCAATATATTGGCACCGATAGAGATTTTAGAGCTCTACTTGTGCCTGTCATCCACTGATCAATGAGCTATGTGGGGACAGTACAGTGGTTCACCTTGGTAGGAGTAACTGCCTGGCACTTACTAGGTGCCTAATAAACATCTACTGAGACAAAACATGTACTTATATTTTACAGAAATGTACACTTGTCATATTAAATTTTTCTTTTTAAGGAAACCAAAACTTAAGAAAATTAACAGAACATGTTCATAACACAGTAAATTCATACCAAAACATAACAAGATTCAGAAGCATTACTTTCTCCCAGCCTGAGGAGGTAATTTTGACATTCCTATTGTAATCAGCTGTTTAAATTATTTTCTCACAGGAAGGGCATTGGTCCGTGAATGGGCTCAACTACGATGGGGAGTGTTCAATGAGTATAACAATGAACAGAAATTCTACTTATCCCAAGGAAAAATCAAACCAGTAGTGTAAGTATATCTTGATCCAACTTTTCCCAAACTACTTTAAATTGCAACCAAATTTTCTTGAATTGATTTCTTTAAAATTTTGTCTTTTTTTTATTCTCGATTAATGCCTTCATTTTCAGATTCCCACAAAACTACCATTTCTGTGTAGTTTTGAGTGCCTCAGTTGAGTGCCTTAATTAGTTGGATTAGCTACTATGCAGCTATAAATCATTTGCCTCGTGTGTGTGTGTGTGTGTGTGTGTGTGCATGTGCGGGCTTTTGCGTATATGCACGCACACGTCTGTCTATAAAAAAACCTACAGGTTTTCATTGACTCCATCATCCTGAATCAGATTCAGTGACATAAACAAAACTAATGAGGCTCTTCAATGTCATGAGAGAAGGCTATCTTTGTGGACTTGGTCAGGATGAGTGAGACTGGGGGGTTTGTGGAATTTACCTGAAAAATGATCCAAATATTAAAATAAAACAGAAAATGTCTTCCAACCTGAAATAACCCATGTCATTAGAAGGCAAACTGAATACTTGGAAAGTGCCTTTGCCTGTTGTGATTTTATGGGGTAGCTCTTGCAACTAAGAGTTTCAGTGAATATGAAGTACTTTACAGTTTATATGTAGAAACATAAAACATAAGAAACTTTCCAATTTATTTTAAGGAGCTCACATAATTCAGGTACTAAAATCTGATAGATGGCATGAAAAAGAATTTACAGATACAGCTTTCCAAAATTAAAACATAATAAATCAAGGAATTAAAAATTAAGGAATTTATTTCTGTACTTTATACTTTTTTTGTTATTTTCCAGATTTTTGACAGTGTCCATGTAATGTTTATATGCTAAAAACTAAGATATGTTGGAGGGGGACTCATTCCATTTATAATAGCAATAAAACTCATAAGCATACTATATAAAGAAAAACCTAAAGGACCTATGAACATTCAAGAACCACACAAAAATCTTTATAATATAAACTAAACAGGAAAAACGGCAACAGGAATCATCAGGAAGGCTTTTGAGGGAAATAAAAGAGGACTCCAGACTGTCCGGGAGTGACAGGATGAGATTAGGAGGTGTCCTGGGATTTTTAATCTTACTAATTCTTTTTCTTTTTCTTTTTAAGATTTATTTATTTATTTATACAAGCACTGGGTACAGTCAGAAGCGCGGGAGGGTGAGAGAATTCACCAGAGCCAGAGTGGGGAGCAGAGCAGGCAGAAGGACCGAAGTACACTGCTGAGGGGAGCAGCGGGCGGCAGGAGAGGTCTGCGCGCATGTGGGACCCTTCTGCGGTGGCCTGGGAACAGCCGGGGATCGAGCCGGCGCCACAGAGGCTGCGGGCAGCTTCGCAACCCAGTGCTCAACCGCTGAGCCACTGGGGAGGCCCAATCTTACTAATTCTTACATTAGCCACAGCCACTTAGCTTTTCTGCTGCATAGACAGAAATTCTGATACTATTTCTGTTACTATTTTGGAAGCCCCTTAGATACTTTCTAGAAAACAACAACATAAATGAATCTAATACTTTAATGATTTTGCTATTATGGGATGTATTTGTTTCTTGGATTATGAGAGGAAACCATAAACAAGGCCATCTGCCAGAAACTGACCACAGTCTAACTCTTTGAAATGATCACATGACCTAAACATCCAACTTTAATGTATTTTCAGATGCCCTGAAGGGATTACTGGTAGAACTGGAGTGATGGAGTGCAAGGGGAGCAACTGTATTGCAAAACAATGCAAAGTTGACAAACTAACAAGACTGTATGAGAAAAACTGTGAGTTTATACCCGAGGAACTCCAGGTGGTGCAGGGTTCCATTACGTATTTACAGACTATTGACTCTGTAAGTATCCTGTTCTTTTCTTCTTGATACTTATGAATTTGGTGAGGTTTTTAATCCCAGAAGCTGCAAGAGAGGGTCCAGTTTTAGGAAATTATCGGTGAGCAGCTGATCCTCAGCAGGACAAGCAATGTGGGAGAACAAGGTCAGGATAAAGTCCTATAATACCCCTATGCCTCCATGAGGTCCATTCTTGATTCTCCATTATATTCCTCTCACTTGCTTTTAGTTAAAGTGCTTAGAATAATTTCAAAAATAAAGGCAGACAAGTGCAAAAGTTCTTAGTTAAAGAAAGACCTTTACCCAGGAGTAACAAACATTATTATTATTATTAATGAGGACATGGATAGTAGTCTTTTATTTAACTCCCAGGGAGCTCTTTTCAGCTTACATATTTGCTTTGGGTTGCTACAGAAATTTTCTCTTTATAATAATGTTGGTGCCCTTAGGAAGTTTATACATAGTTTTAATGCCTTTAAATAGCTTAAAAATATTTTCTCAGTAATTTTTTCAATGGTCAAGTCATAAAATGAACTTGACTGATTATCCATATTAATGCTAGCATATCTGCAAATTTGCAAAAACTAAGATTAACTGACTTTAATGGGAATCTCCTCTTCCAGTTTCTTTTTTTAAAGATTTATTTATTTATGATTACAGGAACTGGGGTACAGGCCAGAGGTGTGGGAGGTGAGAGGATCCACCAGAGACAGAGTGGGGAACAGAACAGGCAGATAGACCGAAGTACACTGCTGAGGGGAGCAGCGGGCGAATCAGGAGAGGCCTGACACGCCATGTGGGTTGCTCCCTGGCCAGCGATTGCACTCATGCTGCAGAGGTTGTGGACAGCTTCACAGCACTGCGCTCAACCCCTTGCGCCACCAGGGAGGCCCCCACTTCTAGTTTCTTGCATAAAATTATATTTCCTTTTGGGATTGGGGGTACAGTAACTTGCAAAAGTCTGTTAATAACAATGCGTCACAAATTTTTAAACAGTGATGTCCCATGGTTCACCAGTACCTCCTTAGTCTGTATGGCTTTGAAGTCCATACCCACACTTTTTCAGACACTTCTAAAATGGGGCACAAATTATAAGTCTTAAATTAACCATGAAGTTAAATTGGACACACAGTCAAGTTTGGGAACTTCTGCCTAGGGTTCACACAAAAGTTTTTCAGGTTCCTATGCTGAATAGTTGCGATACTGATAATATGGAAAAATTACTAACATAACCTAAAAATGCAAATAAGAGTTTTATAGTGATTACTTTCTAAATTGCTAAATCTGTCATTTTAGATTTTTAATTGAATGCTGGTACTGTAAAGTCACTAAAAGGAGGAACTATGTTATACTGTCTTTGTATACTGAGTCTCCTTTTAAATCTTCCAAATATTAGGGATATAAATAAGGGTGACAATCCATCATCTATAGGCTGCATTAGTACTGGGCCTATTGCATATGTTCTCATGTAATCCTTGCATAATAACAGTTGCCATTTTGTAGATAAAATAACTGAGGTGTAGATTGGTTAAGATTATTTTAAAAACTACTTCTACTGAGCTTTCATTGCCTCACACATTAAATTTTAAGGAAGTAAAATTTAATGAGACAAGTTTCATATGGATTGACAGCCCAATAAGTACACTACAGTGTTAAAGGCATCTTACTGAAGTTTCTACAGGGTACTTGAGACCTCAGAGTTGTGTGGAAATTGTGGAGGGGGGTTGAGAGGGGGTGATATGGGAGAAGAAAGAAGAAAACACTTTGAAAGTGATCTTTGGCTGAAACATAAAGTAGAGTTCAAAATGCAAAAGTCAGAGGAAGAGGAACTCCTTGACAGAGTGGGAAGCATGAGCAAAGGCACAGAGATATAAAATAGTCTGTCAAGTGTGAGGATACAGTTGGGAATTAGAGATTTGGAAAACATAGCCAGAATAATGATGGAGAGTGAAACAAAAGTCCAAGTCATGGAGTCTGTTACTGTTTGTTATATGAAGTAATCTGATTGCAATATGTGAACAATGATAAGCCACCAAGGAGTTTTAAGACAAGAGTAAGGAGAAAGACTTCTCAGGCAGAGAATCAGACTTCTCTGATTAATATTTTTTAATCAGGGGTCCTCCCTGGTGGTGCAAGGGGTTAAGTCTCAGCACTATGAAGCTATTAGCAGCCACTGCAGCACAGATTTGATCCCCACCCAGGGAGGTGACACATGGCAAGACCTCTCCTGTCTCACCCGCTGCTCTCCTCAGCAGTGTATTTCAGCCTGTCTGATCTGCTCCCTACTCTGTCTCTGGTGAAGCCTCTCATCTCCCTGCTCCTCTGGCCTACACCCAAGCTCTTGTATGCATAAATAAATCTTAAAAAATAAATAAAATAACAAAATATTTTAATCAAATCATTAAATATTTTTAACAAGTCGCTTACTGTTCTCTATATAATTTTATTGATAATTTCAGGCGGTTCACTTCTGTACACACAAAAACCACAATAGATACGCCCCAAACCTGCAAAACCAAAAATGCAATCTCCGAAGTGCATGGGAAGTGATCCAAGATTCTGAAGACTTTAAAAGAAGCAAACCTATGAGAACAAAGCCACCCAAGCCCTCCTTTTCATTGCTGCAGAGAGGACACAGAACTGTGGTCTTGGTTGTTGATAAGTCTGGAAGCATGAACGTATGTTCAATGATTCTTGGTCTTCAAGATGCTGGTCTCACATTTGTATGATATGAACAGATTGGAACTGGCTGCAAATAATCCCAATCCTAACAGTTAAAACAATTACAGAAAAAAAAAAAAGTTATTGCCACAGGAAGTGGCCATGTCAACTGTACTCAACAACAATTTAGAATCAAGTGTATCATATGCCAATTTAAATTAACTTTCAACTTACAGACAAGTAGCTGATAAACTGAACAGACTTAGTAATGTATCTTATGCTTCACTGACACTACATATATATATATATGTCTACAGAACTAGTACTAAAGTACTGAACTAGTGATAGCCTAATCTGGCTTAATCTTTTTGGATGTTGAAATTCTACCCAAAAAAAAAAAAATTAAAAAAAAAAAAAAATTCTACCCAAAGATGTTACTAAAGTAGAAATATCCCCCCATAGATGAATATGACTTGAGTAAGCTTATCATTTACATGATGTTGAAAGCAGCCACTTCCAAATTTCCTCCAGCCTGTTCTGTTATCAGTCTGCCCACCTCAACCCAATCTGACTGTTTTTCTTCTGCTTCTCCATTCAGAATGGTCACCGACTCCAACGAATGAATCAAGCAGGCAAACTTTTCCTGTTGCACACCGTTGAATTAGGGTCCTGGGTTGGGATTGTGACATTTGACAGTGCTGCCTATGTAAGAAGTGAACTCATAAAGATAAACAATTGTAATGATAGAATCAAGCTCACCAGAACCTTACCCAGCGTGGCCTCAGGAAGAACGTCTATCTGCGCTGGGCTTCGATCAGCATTCACTGTGAGACAAGTTCCCCTTCTGGAGTTTGCCATTGTTCCAATTGATGTTTTCTAAGAAATTTTTCTTTCCAGTGTTTTCATACATGCTTACTGTCTAGCTGATGTAGACCCAAGGGCAGAACAGTGATTTAACTAATGCAAATACTATTTGCATTACTATTGCTAGCTAATTCATTCATTTTTTGTACTTTGCTGTATATATTGCATTCATGCTTTTCTGTGTGCATGTCTGCATTCAAAATATTCATGATATGCCTTCTACATGCTAGGCACTGTACTAGGCATTAAGAATACCATGAAGACCAAGCAGACACCTCACCTCCTATCACAGAACTTGTGATCTTATTGGAGATAGATTAACCACAGTCACACAAATAAGTATAATTCATAAACTAACAAGTGCTATGAAGTAAAGTTACATAGGGATATAAGAGAGTATCTCTTCTATGAGGAAAAACAAATGAGTTCTGAGTTCTGGCTAAACTTTAAGGTAGCTAAATATTCCAAATGTCTGGGCATATAGGACCTCCTTTTGGACAAATGGTTTACTGTTAACATTATGTACTGTAATTATGATTATATTGGGGGGGTTATCCAAACAGCTCATCTGATCACCCACTCATTTCATCCTTCAACTCAGATATCAATGTCTCCCCATTTTCAAAAAAATTAAGGATAACATTTTCTAATATTTAAGTTCTTTCATAACGTATCCCCTACCTTTCCAGGCTTACATCCTCTCTTTGAGGTTTCCTATGTTTAAGCAAATTGGATCAGAAATTCACACTTTGCCAGCCCAGCTCTTCCCTCAGAGCACTTTCTTCTCTTCCTCCCTTGGTACCTTGAATCACACACATTCTTTAAAGGTCCACTACAGACACCACCTACTTCTTGACAGTGTTCCTGATCCATTTAACTCTATAGAATCTCTTTTGGAATCCTGTGGCTTTTAAGAGAATTTATCATATGACTTATAGGCTCTGCTGTCTTTTCTTTTTTTGCGTTTTAAAAAGACAGGTTCATTAAGAGGAGAAAATGAGAGGCACTTGTATTGTCACAGGAGGGCAGGAGAGATGCCTCTTAATCATATGCTTCATTTGAGCAAAAAAACTTCTTGAGGGATAGGATTTGTCTTTTTACTTTCCAGGCTGCTGGCACAATATTTTTTATGTAGGAAGTTTTCTTATTAAATTGAATTACTTGATTGTGATAATTAAACACCTGATGCTTAATTACCCCCAATATAGAATACAGTGCTCTGTGTTTATTCAGAGGCTATTTAGTCCCATGAAACAAAGAATAGGAGGGTGGGAAGAGCATTTGTGTTAGGGCTTAGAATCTCTGCAGTGTTGGGAAAGTCTGCCCTCTGCCTGCTTGTTGTATATATGACATGTCCACGGGGCTGGCCCAGATTCCCAAGTAGCATCAGGAACATTTCATTTCAGCTCACGCTGTTTGATGTGGACTCTGGACTCAAGCATTTCCTCAAATGTTCTTTGTCTCTCTAGCCTTTCTATTCCTTCTTGAAGTCCAGTTCCTAAAATGGGTTCTATTTTGTACACAGTCAGTTGCCAAGCCCTTCTTCAGATGCCTGTGTATGTCCCTATTCTCTACCCTGCCACTCACCCAATCTTTGATTACAGAAGCAAATGAGAAAAAAAAATAATGAAATCACTGACTTCTCATTCTGCACTCTTGATATGTAAAATCTTATGGGAGATGACAAATGCCAGATGGCTTGGTGGTCAAGAAAGACCTACTCAGATGTGTTAGAGAGAATGAGGGCTAGAATTGCAATTAGAACACTTCTTCTGTCCAGTAGACTCCAGATGTGGAGTTGTAGGAACTTTAGGGCAACAAAGTAAAGGCTCTTGGATCCTACATTGTCCTCAAGGTTCCCAATAATCTCAGCTGCAGGAGCCTGGGCAGGACTGTCCTGGTCTTCTAGCAGTGTCTGCTGGGGTATGATTACTGGGTTTTGTTTGTTCTTTGCTTAATCAGGGCCTAGTGGTCTTCCCTAGGTAACTCAGTTTCCCTACTGCTCTCCCTATTGAAACGAGACACTAAACACCCTCGGATCCCCCAGCTAATCTCTGGATAGGCTGTTTATCTCTCAGGTTATGACAATATATCTTCTCAAGACATCTGCCTTCTATCTCCCCTATAGGATATACAGGAACTGTGCATGTTTTCCATGACACTTAACAGAAAACAAGGATTGGGACAAGGAAATGCAAACTGAGACCTTTCTCAGGCACTGCAGCTTAGTCAGATTGGGTCATGGCTATAGTTGACAGGTTCCTGGGCTCTTGGCTACTTCACATAAGTGCAGTCAGAGTTCTACTTGTTTCCCTTCTGTGGTAGCCCCTTCTCAGTTCAAATAGAGTGGGAGACATCTCTGATTTCATTTCAACCAACTTAAGATGCCTTCCTTTTCTGAGAGTCTGGTCCAGAGAGAGGAGTTACTTAGGCTTGTTGCTTATTTTTCTTACTGCTGGGTCTCTCTTCCCACTCTTTTAGGGGGAGTGTCGACCCTTGTGTTTCTCTTCCTATTTTTAAAATCTATTTTTCCTTCTATTGCAATCTTATCCAACATTGGCAAGAAGGGGTGTTTTCTGTACACCATGTAAAAACTAAAAGTTTTGTCTTCCAGGACTAGCTGAGACATAGGTGTCATTGCTCCCCCAGGAACTGGGGATGAATAAGAGCAAAGATTTTGCTTTAACCAGACGGGATATTAAAATTGCTAATAACTGACCACCAGAATCAGTGCCAGCCATAAACAGCTTGTCTGGTCAGACTGGTGAATATCATACAAACTAAAACCTGTCTTGGGTCTAATATCCCTCAAATAGAAAACCCATGGAGTGAGGGTGGCTTCTAAAGGCATATGGGAACCTCAGAAAGTCTGTCAAGGAGAGAAATCATGAGAAGGAAACTAAAAAATTGCTTTTGCTGCTTCCCGGTGCTGCCCATCATGAAAATGCCCCAGTCCCACCTTATAGAACGTTCTGCTCGGTGACTTGCACTGTCAAGTTCTATGAATGTTGCTGCTTTAAATTTGTATCATTTCCATACAAGTATTGTTTGGCCCTTCCCAAACATTCTTATTTGACCCTTCTGGAATTTCTCTCCTCTATTCCTAAAAATGAAGTTTCCTTAAACAACTTGTCTGCCCTGAGTCAGACAATTCATACACTGAATTATGTCCTTAGATGATTAAGAAGAGGAGCCCAACAGATGGAGCTGAGATTGTGCTACTGACTGATGGGGAGGACAGCACCTTATCTGAGTGCTTTGATGAAGTGAAAGCAAGCGGAACCATCATCCACACAATTGCCTTGGAATACACTGCAGAGAAAGACCTGGAGAAGCTGTCTAAAATGACAGGTAAAGGATGTCTTGCTGAGTCATAACCTCTGACCTCTTCCACTGCACTTATTTCCAGTAAACTGGAGAATAAGATCAGGGTGGAGTAAGGATAGTTAATGGTAATCTTATTGGGCAACTGGCTGGACTTACTCTCAAATGACCATTAGAACTGACTCATCTATTATTTTATGACTTTGGTTTTAGGAATAGTGCAGTATGGAAAAGATGAGACCAGCACAGCACCCGTATGAGGACTTGGGAACTCTCTTCCCAGACACTTTATAATGACTAGGAAAAATCTGATGTTAATCAGGAAACACTTCCAGTTGGCAGCTGGTCAAGACATCTTAGGGGATAATTGACAAGCCACTGGCTATACAATACCATGGCAAGAGTGCTTTATTAGCAATAGAAAGTACAATGAAACATAAAGAAGGGAAGCTTTAACTACCTGGTGAAGAAGGGTACAGAAGATGATATCTGAGTTGGGATTTTAACAAGGAATAGCAGAGGAAAGACAAATGGCCGGCTGGAACCACACAGAAGGTTACTCTGAGAATGTAAAGAATAAAGCATTTTCTCCATAGAATATTAATGTATTGTACCTCTAGCTCCCATATACAGACAGATGGTTAAAATAGACCCCATGTGTCCCTGACTTCTTTAGCAGAGTAGGTGGGCATACTTTCTTTTTAAACTTAGGGTCAGTAATTTGGCTTAATGGATTCTCTCATATGTAAGTATATGACCTTCATAACATGAATTTTTATGACATTAAATTTGGTCTGTCAGCTAATTTGCAGAAATTGGTCAACTGAATAACATTGCTGAAGTTTTTTAATAGTTATACAAAATTCCTGCCAACTTCTGAGTTAATCTGGATACCTATTTGATGTTGATATATTAATACTTCAATAGCACAACAGCATGTTTATTTTGTATATTACGCTATCTTAGTAATAGCCAAAAGGTTGCAATAGCTAAAATACTTGTTTCTAGAAAATAACTTTTGATAATATAATTGCATTTTAGGAGGTTTACAGACCTATGCTACAGATGAGGTTCAAAACAATGGCCTCATGGATGCTTTTGAGGCCTTTTCATCAAGCAGTGGAGATTTCTCCCAACATTCCATCCAGGTCAGAGTTCTTTCTCTTGTTTGTAAATGAGGATAGCCAAAAAAAGAGTTTAATGGTTAACAATTTCAAGGTATACATTTTTCCAGTAGTGAATTCAAGTTAAAAATGGAAGTTTCAACCTGATATTAAACATTATTCACAAAATGCAGCACTACTCATGTAGACAAGGCAATTTGTGTTTGTTTGAAAAGGATGCTAAGTGATTTCCTCATAGAATCTAGCAACATAAAACATAATGGATCCAAGATTTATTTTTAAACATCTGTTAATAAGTACTGGTAACAATACTGGCTCAGAATGATCTTTGGAGTAGATCATCTCAATACAAATTTTCTGGGATGAATCTTCAGAGATTACTTTTCTCATTACCTCAAGTACCCAATATTTGCCAAGATTTTCATGTAATGGCTGGAAAATGCTTTGTATTAGGCAAATAGTGACAATTCAACAACTGAATCCTAGTTCTAGTCTGCCATTAACTGTAACCATGGACAAAGAACTTCGCTCTGTGAGCCTCAGTTTCTCAGTCAGATATAAAACAGAAAACTTCTACAGACCTTTCTTATTCTAAAATTTCAAGAAAACCAAAATTTCTTTCAAAAATCTTGGAACTTTTAAAAAAGAACAAATGTATCATAAAGCATTCTTCTCTACTCATTGCAAAATTATTTAAAAATTCACATGAATGTTTAAACTAGCATGAGTGAATAATCAACATCCAACTGGGTGAATTAAAACTTTTAATGTGAAACTTTGGATAAAGGTAAAGGAAAAATATAATGTTAAAGCCAAATACTGACAGATATTTAAAAATAGGCTTTCTAGCCTGCCAACATAGCATTTATTCAACCAAAGAAGTCAAAATTATACTCATTTGGGCTATTCTATCCAAGATTAAAAAAATTAAATTCAAAAGCCTGGTTTAGAAATGGGAGGGATGTGTCTAAGAAAAATAATTAAATTGATGAAAGCATAATCAAGTAGTTTCTGCCCATTATTTTTGTATTTTAGTAGCCTAGTAAGGAGATAGAGAAATGAGCAGAACTGATTTACCCATCTGCTATAACAATCAGATCTGTGAGTCCTACCTCCAAATAGACAGTTCAATGTCTAAGACCATAGTTTACTTATGATCTTAGATATCTAGAAATTCTGACTCCAAGAATATGTCACCCTATCCTCTAATAAATTATCAATTTAAGGACAATAAATAATTAAGAAAATTCCCCAAATCACACTTTTACAAAAGGCTTGTTAACTCTTTTCCACCTCAATCCCTGCTCCAAAGTGCCTTCATTCATCCCTAAACAACAAGTCATCCTTAGCCATGGACTTGCTTTGTTTATCTTTACAGAGTTTACATTGGTTATTTGGTTATTTGCAATCCATGTATGGGTGAAAATAAGTTTCAGTCAGTCCCCTCAAGGGTTTATAGTCTAATTAATGAAATGAGCCATATACGCCAGTAAATACAAAGCAAAACACAATGTGAGAATGAGATTTTATGGGAATTCCTAGGAGCAAGAGATTATTATCAGCTGATCAGAAAGTAACCGTTGAAGTGAATTTTGAAGGATGAAAAAGGCTTAGACAAATGGAGATGAACATACCAACTTACAGGAAAAGAAGAGAGTACATTAAAGCCACAGACTTGGGGATTCATGAACATCCCTTGGGGAAGTAGTCTGGCTTGTGTATAAGAATAAATATTATGAAAGGTAGCTTATACAGATAGAAAATTTAGAATTGGATTGTAATAGATCCTAAATACTGAATCAAAGACTCAGGCATCACTGAGAGTTTTTTAATAAGGCAAGTGGGAGTTGGGGGCAGAACTGAAAATGTTGTATAATGGATGCTATATTCTCCAGAAAATAAGAAGTTGTTTTCTCCGAACAGCTTGAGAGTAAGGGCTTAATTTTTAAGAATGCTCAGTGGATGAATGGCACGTTGGTTATAGACAAGACTGTGGGAAAGGAAACTTTGTTTGCTTTCACCTGGACAACAGACGTTCCCCGAATCCTTCTCTGGGACCCCAGTGGAAAGATACTAGAAGGAATTTGGGTGGACAAAAGAACAAAATCAGCCTTCCTCCAAATCCCAGGCACTGCCAAGGTAGGGAGTCAACCTTTTTTCTTCTGACAATTTGATAAAAAAAAAATGTTGACAGAATAATTATAGCTTTAAATGTGCGTGGTTGCTAGAGTCAGTACTTAATGAAAGAGCACAAGAAAAATTCTTCATCCAATGGAAATCACTCATATGCTAGCAGGTTAAGAGAAAGGAAATTGGTGGTGTTTTCTCCAGGTGCTAAAGGGAAAACCTTCAAATCATATAGTATCAAGATGATCCTTAAAGCTTCAGGGTCATGGAAATGATTTTGTCTACCCTAAGAACCCATCAATTTGATCCTGATCTTGAGAAACCAGAATAATGATATGGACATAATTTCAGACCTCATTTTCTCCAACGAGGGTTTTCTTGATATTAAGAAGCATGTACTTAGTCCAAACAGCAAAAATTTCCTTGGCTGACAGAGTTACAAAGAATCTTAGATATACTTGCATTTGCTTGTATTAGATAGGCTCTTCCTCTAGGTGGCATTGAAGTAAGGTGTATGACACCTACAATTATTACTTGGAAATGTCTCCATTTGTTTTGATCAGGCCGGCCTTTGGAAATATAGTCTACGAGCAAGCTTCCAGACTCTGACTTTGACTGTCACCTCTCGTGCATCAAGTGTTACTTTGCCTCCACTTACAGTGACATCTAAAGTGAACAAGGTCACATGCAAATACCCAAACCCTATGGTAGTTTATGCAAAGGTTTACCATGGGGACACGCCAATTCTTAAGGCCAGGGTCACAGCCCTGATAGAATCCAATAGTGGAAAACTAGTTACCTTGGAATTACTGGACAATGGAGCAGGTAACCACCCAACTACCTTTCTTTTCTAAAAGCAGCCAGGGAACAGCAGGAGGGCATGGCATAGTGAGAAGAGTTAGAAGCAGAGTCCAACACTGGGAGTTTGGTTGGGAGATTCCTCTGTTTGCCATAAATTCCTATGTTTCAGAAAGTCAGATCATTAATAAGGGCCAACCTCCAGCTTCTGCAAAGCTCCAAACTCATTAATGGCTCAAGCTCAATAGGTTAATAGATTGTAGGAAGTTGTCAGAGGGTATTTTACACTCCCCAAAATGGGAAGGAAGGCAAGTAGTAGGTATTTCATGTTAGGTATTTTGTGTGAAGATTTTCTATGGATATAATATATACACATATATTTATCCCTTCATTTTTATCTTTACCATAAACTTTTGAGATGTTATTATGCCTACATTACAGATGAAGAAACTTAGGCTTTTACATTTAGAAAGCAACAGACATTTCTACAATATTGTTCATTTTGGGAATATAAATAGCCAAAGAAAACAAACTACCAAAGCGTAGCAATCATAATTCTTATACTCTGTGAATAATATACTATTTACCAGAGGGAATAGAGGGGAAGGAGTAAGGTATTGGGGAGAAAAGGGGATAGAACAGCTACAATAGAGCTTTGGTGGAGAGTGAGTGAAACATGTCACTTACTGAGATATAAAGTAATCCTATAGTTATGTAAACAATTGACAACTGAATTTTGAAAAGCAGCAGAGATTAAGCATAATTCTATGTAACTCCTGTATTCACAAGACTTCATATTATCTAGCTCCCACTGTGAAAATGTTGCCCATTTAAGATCTCTAACAGAGAAAGAGCATTCTATGTTTTTGTAGAATGAACTTGATGGCTTATTGTGATGCAAGTAACTGAATTATAACAAATTCTATAATTTCCTATCTAAATGTACCCTGGGAGAAAAAATGACAAATTTTTAAAAACAATCATATGACAGGGCCTCCCCTGGTGGCGCAGTGGTTGAGCACTGGGTTGCGAGGCTGCCTGTCGCCTCTGCAGCACCAGTTCGATCCCCAGCCACTTGCGGGGAAAAAAAAAAAAAAAAACCCACAATCATATGACATTTTTCTCTCCCAGGTACATATTGCAATTCAATTCAGTTCAGTTCAAGAGATACTTGTTGAGTATCTCTTATGTTCCGGTAAGTATAATAGAGACACATGTCATGATATCTGATTTTAAAAAGAAAGACAAGTCAGGAAGACAAGATGCACACATAGGAAATAACATACACAAACAGACATAGGTTAAAACAGTAGACCTCGGGCCTCCGTGGTGGCGCAGTGGTTGAGCACTGGGTTGCGAAGCTGCCTGCAGCCTCTGCAGCACCGGTTTGATCCCCGCCACTGGGTGAGGGTCCCACATGGCGCGCAGACCTCTCCTGCCGCCCGCTGCTCCCCTCAGCAGTGTATTTCGGTTCATCTGCCTGTTCTGGTCCCTGCTCTGGCTCTGGTGAATTCTCTCACCCTCCCGCGCTTCTGACTGTACCCAGTGCTTGTATAAATAAATAAATAAATCTAAAAAAAAAAAAAAAAACAGTAGACCTCATTATTTTTTTTTAAAAATTTATTTATTTATGCATACAAGAGCTGAGGCACAGGCCAGAGATGTTGGGGGGGTCAGTGGGGAACAGAACAGGCAGACTAAGTGAGACACACTGCTGAGGGGAGCAGTGGGCAAGACAGGAAAGGTCTGTTGTGCCATGTGGGTTTCTCCCTGGCTGGCCGGGGATTGAACGTGTTCTGCAGAGGCTTTGGATTGCTTCATAGTGTGGTGCTTAACCCCTTGCACCACGAGGGAGGCCCTAGACCTCATTCTTAACATAGTCAAATCCGTAAATTCTTTTGGTGATAATAAATCTATGCTTTGGAAATTTTTAACCTACATATAAGTTGGAAACATAAAATGTCCAGTTACCTTTAGGATATCCAATAAAGCCTTCATTTCCCTGTCAAGGTGCTGATACTACTAAGGATGATGGTATCTACTCAAGATATTTTACAGCTTATGAAGAAAATGGTAGGTTCAATGTGAAAGTGAGAGTCAATGGAGGAAGAAACACAGTCAAACAAAACAAAATACACCTGCAGAATAGAGGCATGTACCCACCCGGGCAGATTAAGAATGGTAAGTACCAACACACCTGGATTAAGTAAAAGGCTTAGTTGGGAACCAGAGGAAACCCTTAAGCCTGCGGGAAGAATGATGCTGGATTAAATCAGGCATTATTGACCTTGACATTATTGACATTTGGGGTCAGACAATTCTTTGCTGTGAAGGGGTTTTAGTGCCATTTCTGGCTCCTACCCACCAGATATCAGAAGCAGCCCCCCAAAATCATGATAATGAGATAACATCCCCTGTCCCCTAGGTGATCATAGGGAAAGGTGCTTTAAAAGACACCATTGTTTCCAAAACTTTTTCACATATTTCAGCTTATTTTATTTTCATTTGTCCTTCTTTTTTGAATTATGGGAAGAAGGCTAATGAGGTTATTGATCTCCAAAACTAATAGTGATAGCATGTAGCTTGGTATTGGGAAATCATGTCCTTCCTCTATACCTTTCTCTATAACAAGAGGCATGGTCTCTATTGGTGACTCAAATACTAACCCCCAAGACCAGATTAATGAGAACCACATATGAAGAACAATCTGTCTTTACAGATAAAAGTTTTAAGTACCAAAGAAGTAGAGTTTATGAGAAAGTGAATTCTGAGTAATGCCGTAATAGGGCATTGTAGACTAAATTTATTGAAAAGAGAGAGAACCCTCTGATCGAGTAGGACAGTGTGTTTTTTTGAATCCCAGGTTGCTTTTATATAACCTTTCAACAAGAATGTAGGGAAAATTGGGATTTCTATCTGAACTAGGTTCCTATGCATTTATTGAGAAAATCAAAAGCATAAAATTTTAGAGCTCCTAACAAAACATTTCATGTAAAACCGCAACCTACTAAAACACAAATGTGGAGAAAGAAAGAAAATGCATGGGATAAATAATCAAGATAATTCTTGAAGGCCCAAACGATTGATAACCAGATAAAAAGGAAAAATAATAAACCAACATTTTCTAGGTGGCAGAGATTTCGTAAGGCAATTTGAGAAGATGAAAACAGAAGTAGTATTTAAACTGACCTTGTAGAAGGGTAATATCAGCATAGGTAAAAAGATAGGAAAAGAAAATATCAGGACAAATGTTGTAAAAGTAATTCTGAAGGTGATTCCACTAAGTATCCAGGAAATATCTAAGAGATTACTTGATTTCTTTTTAATATTTTTCCCTTTGATGCAACCTGCTTTGGTATCTTTATTCCAAATAGTTAACATGAATTCTATGTGTGGGAGAAAATATGGGGAAGGAGAGAGCATGCGGAGGGTAACCTGACAACAAAAGAATGTATTGTAATTTAATGGTGTTGCTTACCATGTATTGTAATATAATGTAATGCAGGCAAAATAAGATGGAATCCACGGAGACCTGCAATTAACAATGTTGATCAGCGACCCATAGAAGTATGTTTCAGCAGAGTAAGCAATGGAGGCTCATTTGTGATCTCCAACGTCCCAAAGCGTCCCTTAGGTGATGTCTTCCCACCTTCTAAAATTATTGACCTGGAAGCGAAACTCCAAGCGAACGGTTTCATTAGATTGACTTGGACGGCTCCTGGGGATGATTATGATAATGGAAAAGGTAAATTGAACAAGGAGTGAACCCTGCAAAGTTTGGCAGCCAAGTAGAGGTGCAGAAGTGGGTGAGGAAGGCGGGACTGTTGTCATGTACTTGGAGAGCAGAAAGCAGGAAGGCTCTTGAATGCCTGCGGACATGAAAGGGCAAAGTTGTTTTCAGTGTGAGAGGTTTAGAATCTGAAAAAAATTGGCCTATTTAGATGTAAGAGCAGTTTGCCAAACTTCTCTTTAATAAACCCCATTTTCAGTAATGACCTCTGGAGAAGATTCGGAATAGAGCATCGATATCTATGAAACAGAACTTTGGAAGCAACCACAGGTTCTACTGCTTTCACCTTTCAAAGTGCAAAGTGCAGACTGCAGCATGGGTGTCATATGAATGCTTATAAAGAATGTAGAACCTCAAGCTCCACCCTAGATCTACTAAACCAGAACCTGCATTTTAAGGTCCCTGAGTGATTTGTACACTAAAGTTTGAGAAACACTTGTATATAAAACCCCTTTATAAATAAAATAGTAAGCAGGAATTAAACAACCTCCTCTCTTGGCCAGGTGCCATGCCCAGAAATACTGACCAAGGCTTTAAGTTGTGCCTGATTCAATTTTGCATTTGTCACTCTGTTGAGATACACAAATGGGAATGTAAAAAGGGTACTAATACTTGTAACTGTGGACTGGCCATTCCACTTATTCATAGAAAATTTATGAGATGGGAATATAGTTTCTAAAACATTTTGAAAGTTCTTCAGAATTTAATTTAAAACCTGAGAATTACAAGTCATATCTTTTTTTTTTAAGTTTCCAAGTATATCATTGGAATATGTGCAAATATTGATGTGCTCAGAAATGAGTTCAATGACGCATATCATGTGGATACTACTCGCCTCATCCCAAAGGAAGCCAACTCCAAGGAAGTCTTTATGTTTAAACCAAAAAAGCTGCCTCAAAGTGACATGGAGTTCTTCATTGCTATTCAGGCTGTTGATGATGTCAACCTGAAGTCAGCAATATCCAACATTGCACGAGTGTCTCTCTTTGCTCCCCAATCAAAGTGTAACAGCAGAGACATATTCTCTCCCTATTCCTGATACTCACATCAACAGCACCATTCCTGGCATTCACATTTTAAAGGTTATGTGGAAGTGGTTAGGAAAATTACAGCCATCAGTATCCTTAGGATGAGATAAATAAATCAGTCATCCTTTTTTTGGATTATAAGATTTTCTAAAATATATTTTAGACTTCTTATAGGGGACAATGTAATGAAATAAAATGCTGAACAACTGGATGTGTATGTGTAAGATCTATCCATTCAACTCCAAAAGCTTAATTATCACTCAGTAATTCATTAATGATTCTGAATACTAGAAAGAAGGGGTGCTTACATCAAAAAATGGAGGCATGTTTTAATTAATTTTAAGGAAATTTGCAAGTTTTCATATGTAATTACATATGAAAATGTCAGGAATGCTCAACCAGCTCAAATTATTGAGGTATACAAGACATGGCTAGGTATAGAGATTTGGATCAGCATTGCTAGGATGATTTCTTTCTTTAGATTTGGGCAAAGGTAATACACCTAAGGAAGAGATTGTGTTGTTGGAAGAAAGGATAGCATGTGAAGGCATATTCATAAATTCTTAAGAGCTGGAAATGTTTAACACTACAGTAATGGGAGATGAGGTGTGAAAGGCAGGTTCAGGCCAGGTGTGAAGGGAAAATAATTGAGAAATAAACATTCATTGTGTATTTTGTACCACATGCTCTTTTAATGCTTTATATGCATTATCTCACATAGTGCAATTTAGTTCATTCAACATTCATCAACTGCCTACTATTTTCCAGGCAAATATTAGGTCTTTACTATAAAAAGATGAATAAGATTTGGCCTTATACATGCAGGTAATAAAGAACATTTGGTATTTTTTTAAAATCAGGTGGCAGATATAACCAGAGCTATGTTTGAGACAGGAGACTCTGAAGAGCACATGAAGACTGAGTAAAGTTAGGAGTGACTATGGGCATGAAAAATGAAAGAGGGAGAAGGAAAAAAAGGAAACAAATTGATTTAGCAGTATGGCAGACCCCATCAAGTACCAATCACAGATTCCTTCATTTGTCTGAGCTTGAACTTTTATTGGAATCTTATTCTTGTCACGTCATCCTCTGAGTTGTATACTTACTACCCAATTGAGCTGACTTTATAACTTCAACATTATCTTTCATCTCTCATTTGATTGCCTCTTTCTATGAAGTCAATTATCACCTCAGTTTAGCCCTATGTGTCACTTCAAATCTTCCCTGACCGATGCCTTCAATTATCTTATCTACTTATCACACTGTTCTTTAAAATCTTTAAGTATGTTCTATGTGTGCTTATGTCATTCATTTATCCATTCAACAGATATTTTTCAAGTGCTCACATTATGTCCCAATTGCTATGCTAGATGCTAGGATAAAATGGGGAAACAAGCCAGGTATGGCTTCTGCTCAAAAGGAAATTTGCCGCGGACCAGCACAGCAGTAGACGATGAGGCCATCTCAGGGTTGAGAGAAGCGCGCAGTGTGTCAGGGAGTCGGCGAAAGAAATGACAGATACACTTCAAGAGAGAGTGTAAATCTGAGTGCAACTTTATTTGAGTGAGTGGTCGGTATATATATGTTTTCTAAAAGCATAGGAATAGTGAACATCAACGGAATCAGCTTGCTAATAGGTTTAGCTTATCATTGACAGGGCAGTGATCTATGTCCAAAATACATCTGGACCAAGCCGCATTCCTAAGTAGACAGGCTATTAACTCTTTCTTTTGTTCTATATAATTATATTCTTGTTGTACTAACTACTACTACTACCTACTCATTTTTACTCATAATTAATTGTCACGGGTGAATTTTATTTTATAATGCAGTTAATATCAAAGGTACTAAAGTCAAGCACATAATAGAAAGATTATTAAACCAACAATTCTATTATAACACAGTGTTTAGTAATGTTTCATTTGGATTAGCCTAATTATTAAATTACGTGTGTTTTTTAACTAGCAACCAATGACCAGAAAAAGGAAAGATTTTAGAAAGACAGTTGTAGCAGAATAAAGTTTGTGGGCCTTGAGAAAGCGAGATAAGGTTCCAGGTGGTCAGCATTTCTTTTAACCATCTTTGTGGCGGCTTCTGGTGGTCGTTATCTCTTGGCAGGCATTCGGCTTCTCTGCATCTTAGGGAATTTGCTGTTCTCCTCCTGCGCGCATGGTTCCTTGCCCACGCCGGACCTCAGGGACCATGGCAACAGCCATCATTAGCCCTGAAGGTCACTGCAGGGGGAGGTGCAGCAGAAATTATAGCCAGCTGTCATATAAATAAGCAAGTAGGTGATTAACAAAGCAGAGAATGTAGGCACTACTTTAAGGGAGGCATCTATTTTAAAAATCAATGGTTTGGAAGCTAATCCACACATAGCATCAGCTAGAGAAAGTGATGCTTCCATTGCTGTGGTGTCTGCCTATAAAGTATAGAATTAGGATGTAAAACCAAGCCAAAGAAAAGAAATGTCACCTTAATCATCGAGGGTTAAAGCATGTACAAGTGTGAAGCTGTACTCCTGATATTATACAGTTTGTAAGCAAATGGTAAGTAAATAAAATTTAACTTTAAAACAAAACAAAAACCCCATCATTTATTCAGTTGGTATTACATCCTATATCTTGGGCAAAATCTTCTGCCAGATGCCCTCTGGAGTGACTCAATCTAATTATTTTCATTCATTTGATGATATTTAATGATATCAATATCAGCCAAAAAAAAAGAATATAAGAATTACAGTTTAAAAATTATACTTTAAAACAATACCTGACATATGGCCTCAAGTAATTTTACATGGTTTCAGACTTTTGAAGAAATACCACAATTTTTCTGAAGAACATGTTTTCCAAGCATGTTTCTAAGAGTGAGTCAGTAATACAAGAGAAGACAATCAACAGAACTGGTCAAGGAGGTTTCTGTCAAAATTTCACAAAAAAACAATCAAAGTTGGGCCTCCCTGGTGGCACAAGGGGTTAAGCACCACACTATGAAGCAATCCACAGCCTCTGCAGCACAAGTTCGATCCCCGACCAGCCAGGGAGCAACCCACATGGCGCAGCAGACCTCTCCTGACTCGCCCCTGCTCCCCCAGCAGTGTATTTCAATGGATCCACCTGTTCTGCTCCCCACTCTGTCTCTGGTGAATCTTTTCACTGCCCTCCATACCTCTGGCCTGTACCCCAGTTCTTGTATGCATAAATAAATAAATCCTTTAAAAAAATCAAAGTTGACAATCCAGGTAAGAATTAAAGAATGAGGTTAGGAAATTCATTGAATTAGAAAGACTGAGTGATGTTTAGTTACTGCGATTGCAAAAGTCTATTAAACCAGGTTCCAGACACCCCATGTGAAAAGGAAACAAATCAAATTGCTCTTCCTATCCTATTTTAGTTGTTAGTAGAGATAAATCTTTCCCTTAATTACAAATGTAATTCAAATCTATTAGGGGAAAAAAAAAACAGAAAACAAAAAGTATGTCAAAATGTACAAATTCCGGGCCTCCCCGGTGGCGCAGCGGTGGAGCGCTGGGTTGCGAAGCTGCCCGCGGCCTCTGCGGCACCGGTTCGATCCCCGGCTGCTCCCCGGCCACCAGAGGAGGGTCCCACATGGCGCGCAGACCCCTCCTGCCGCCCGCTGCTCCCCTCAGCAGTGTCCTTCGGTCCTTCTGCCTGCTCTGCTCCCCGCTCTGGCTCTGGTGAGTTCTCTCACCCTCCCGCGCTTCTGACTGTACCCAGTGCCTGTATAAACAAGACAAACAAACAAACAAACAAATAAATAAATGCCTCTATAAAAAAAAAAAAAATGTACAAATTCCTATGTACACATAACAAAGATTCAAACAATACAAAAGCTACAAGCAATAAAAAAGTAAGTTTCCCAACATCCTTTTACTATATTTCCAGGTTCCCTTCCTAGGGGCGATCAATGTTATGTGCTTATTATGTATCATTCCAGAAATAAACTAAACATCTGTCTGTATACATAGATTATATTCTGTGTTTTTAAGACACAAAAGGGAATATACTAGACATACAGTCTTGGGTTTACATTTTATTTATTATTTCTTAGAGATCATTTGTTTTCAATTCATAGTTGCCTCATTCTTTTTCATGGCTGTATATATTACATTAAATGGATATGTGCCATAAAAATATGCAAATTCCCAACTATGAATCATGTGGATATGAAAATTCCTAACTATGAATCATGTGGATATAATGTAGAGCATAGTAATGATAGTTAATAATTCTGTATTGTATAGCAGAAGGGAAAATCTCCCTACTCCTCTGGGTTCTTCTCTGATAATATGTGCAAACAAATTAATTATCATTCAAATTGTGGTACAAACATCAAGTGTAATTATGTATGGAGAATTTATATTTAATCTAAAGAAAAGTAGCTACCGAGGAGTGGATGACTACATGAAAAGCCTTGCCTGGAATTGTTGGCTTTGCCTTAAGATGGGTCTCTCTGATAAAAAGGTTATTTTCTAGAGATTTCCCTCAGTCTAGGTTATCTACATTCTTTATGGTTATGGTAACAGTTTCTCTCAAGCCTCACATGGCCTCCATTGACCTTAGTTCCACCTACCAAGGTAACATGAACAGGAAAAAGCCAGCTCTGAATATCTTAGGAAAAACCTGTGTAAACTTTTTTTGGGTAGTGGTGGGGAGAGGGGAGATTGATCCTACAATCTTAAAATCCTCATCACAAGAAAAAATTCTACTTTTGTAATGCTATATGGGGAGAGGTGTTAACTACACTTATTGTGGTGATCATTTAGCAATATATACAAATTTTGAATCATTATGTTACACACCTGAAATTAATATGTCAATTATAGCTCAATTAAAAAATAAAAAGCATATGGTGAGCTAAAGAATGGAGAGAATGATTCAGATTGCAGAGGGCATACCACATTCACATGTGATTGAGGCAGTCACCAGACCACAGCTAATCCTACCTGCAGGATGGGACTGTGGGATCCAGGGCAGCACTTCAAGGATCTTGGAAACCAGTTTATCTAGATTTAGACCTTGGTATCTGAGCAATAGAAAGAAAAATACTACCACTACCACCATTACCCCACCAATGAGGGGCTGGGATGTGAGGGAAAAGAGGAGGAGGGAGATGTGAGCAGGGTTTCAGGGCCTTGGCCAAGTAGAGAATGGATAGAGCATTGCCATCATTATTTGTTACAT